TGAGCCGGCGCACGGGCTGTGCTCTGGTGCTCGATCGTCGTCCCACCAGCCAGTGAGAGAGGCAGCGCACGGCACCAGCCGGCCGTGGCGCAACTGGATGACTTGTGAGGGATGCTGCGTGCCCTCCCCCCTTTGCCCCAGACGGGAAACCATGCGAGTGCGTGTCATGCGACGTGTGAGATGAGAGGTGTGTGTCTGTGGTTGCGCTTGTGTGTGTGCGCGCCCCCGCGGGGTTCGGGCCGTCACGAAACCTCGATATATCTGTGTGCCTTCTGATCTGTTAAATTCTGAGATCTGAGAAAAGCGGTGCAGCGCGAAAAAGAAAACGACACATAACGATAAGACACATACAACGATCAGAGTTGACAGTGTGTTATGTGTCTCCACACGCGCACACGCACACGCACACACACACACACACACACACACACACACACACACACACACACACACACACACACACACACACACACACACACACACACACACACAGTCACAGTCACAGTCACACACAACGCACCGCATATCGCTACAGCTCCTACAGGAGCGACCCCCGCCGCCGCCTCGTCGACAGGCGCGCCCACGACCGAGACCAGGTTGCAATACCCCTCCGGCAGTCCGCACTGGGTCTCGAAAGGGAAGCAACGTACGATCGACTCCAGCTTGGGGCTTGGGGAATGACCTTCAGGAGCGTCGCCTCTCCCTGTTGTTGCCACCGGAGCTGACAGGTCCTCGCAAAATACCCTCACTGTATTATTTGTCGGCTCCCCCTGTCCAAGAAGAGCTCTCTGTCGCTCAACAGACATGCACGCCGTCAAGTCGGATAAACTGACTAAAGCCATTCGTCACAACCACCCCAATCGCATCCACCCCACCCGTTGGCATACTCCCCATCGGTGAACCCTTCCCAGTCACAGTGTGGCTTTTGCTCTGTAACAGTCGAGCCCGTCGTTGGGTCGGTAACCGAGATGCCGACGGTTGAGTAGTGGCAGCCGCGGAATACCTCTTCGTCCGCAATGTTTATTTGCCCGTCCTTGGGGTAGGGCGCGAATGCTACTGTTGGATTGCTCAGATCACCAGCTGCCTCATTCCATTGTGTTTCAATAGCATCAGCCTCATCCCATGAGGTCTCACAGTGCCCGCTTGAGCAGCTCGAGTCCGCGCCCACAAAACCAAATGCGGAGTTGTCTTTAGTGGGACCACAGCGGCGGCGGCCATTAGTTTCCGACGGTGTGAAGAGGGATAGGTCATTGCAGTCACTTTCGTCGCAATCCAATCCACTATTTTTTATGTGGCGGCGGCGGCCATTTCACCGCCGGTGCAGAATAGGTTACAGTCTTCGTCACAGTCGACGTCGCAGCTCCGACTGGAGAAGAAGTGGCGCCCGTAGGTGTCCTTCGAGCCGTCCATCTGGACGCAATCGCTGTCACTGGCGCACTCGTCGCAGCCCTTGTTCGGGCCTAGGCACGCGCCATCGTCGTAGAATGGTGCGGTGGCGTGCCCTGACAATCATCGGAGTCGCAGCCCACGCGCAGCAGGGTGGTCGAGGCGCAGCCTGAATCTGTAATAGAATTCGGGCAGAGCCCTTCTCCATAGGGCTTGTAATCGACATCCAGGGTGAACGGGCCGCACGGGATTTCGTCGGAGTTGCAGTCGCTGAAAGCCGGTCTCCGACGAGGCGCAGTACTCAGGGTCGTACCCGTCCGCGAACGTCTGCGTGGGGTACGAGCCAGTACACGCTTCGGGGTCGTAGCAGATCGTGTCGCACGACTGGCCCGTCCAGTCTGACGAATAATCCCCGGAGATGGCCGGGTACGCCGCGTTGCAGTCGGACTGGCACGCTGAAAAAGCGCTATTGCACCTGACCAAGGATGGGGGGGAAAGGGGGAAGCGGACCCGGGGGCGACGGTCAACTTTACGTGGAGGGAGAAGCAAATTGGTGGCGGAACCCCAAGTGTTGGCGATAAAATGGAACGGGGGCGAATCCGACGGAAGGAAAGGCGCCTTTGAAAACCTTGTGAAAGAGGTCCTGGGCAACCAAACGCGGCCGCCTTTGGTTCTCAGTTGGTGCCAACAG